ACCGAGTGAGCCACGGGCCGGCCCTAGAATTCTTAATAAGATGTTTTTCCCAGGCAAAACCCCAAAGTAGAGGCCAGTGTCACAACTGTGAATGAAGGATTTGTTCTCTTCTGTGCTGGCAACAAGTTTTAAGAAGCTGAATGTAATTACCCAGTGGCTGGTATGTATGGTGGAACTATTTGTGGCTGATCAAATCTGAAGCTTTTTTAGTTCTGACTGTCATTAGCAAAGACTTTGCTCAGGGTATCCTTTGCCTTGGAAGGCAAAGCACCTACAGAAAGAGGCAGAAATGGCAGGAATATGAGCTGGGGATGATTCTGGGATCATTATTGTCATTAGCAAAGACTTTGCTCAGGGTATCCTTTGCCTTGGAAGGCAAGGCACCTACAGAAAGAGGCAGAAATGGCAGGAATATGAGCTGGGGATGATTCTGGGATCATTATTTATATCTAGAATAACAGATAAAATGAGGAAGGGGCAAAGAATGCTGGAACAATAGTCAGAAAGGCACACACACCACCTCTTTTGCAGGCCTTAGCAACTACCGAGATACAGCACTTAACCTGGGCTTTATAAAAGCTTACCTCCCTCTTTCCAAAGGCATGATGAAAATGAAAATGGTAGTTTTCCCTATGCTTATTTGCCATCTACATTCTAGTAGGTGATCTAGGCTTGAAAGCAGGCAGACAGCAATGTCAGAGGCAGTCACACCTTTACCCTGCTCATGAACATTTTTATGCAAAGACAGCTGCTAAGGGCTTCAGAAGAGACCTACTGACAGCAGGTTTCTGGATGTCCTGTTTGTGCATTTTGATAAACAATGGGATTCTACAGTTCCAATCCTTGCTGCAGACAGAGATGAATGGCAGGAGAAGATGCCTGTCTGGGAAGATGGACATTAATCCAGATCACAAAAGAACAGATAATTTAACCTGATGCTGACCAACCTCCATAGCCATCCTCCCTAGAGATAAATCTTGATGGTCTTCTTCCACAGCAAGCTCATGGAAGGCTCAGATATGGTTGTACATCATTTTTAAAGGTTATAAAATCTGTAGGACAATAAAAGTCAGACACTAAACATGATTGTTCCTGTTCTCTAATCTTAGACATATCTGACTTAGTTAAGTCACAGTGTCCTCATTTAGAAAAATACCACAACAGGATAAATAACTGTCTTGTTAGGTTATTATAAGAATTAAACAAGTTTTCTTTTTTAACATACATATTACAAATGTTTTGTGAGTTATGAAAAATATTATTATAGCTAATAACTTTCATTCAGTGGATGATAGAAGAGAACCAAAAAAGATGGGATCTGAGTAATGGCTCCATTGGTTTTCTGAGGACTCCACACCTGGATGGGATGAACCCAAGAGTGGCAAAATGATCTACGACTCAGCAAATGGAAGGAGAGTGAAAAGGTCAAAGTGAGGCAGCAAAGGCAGGAGCATGATGTGCCGTGAAGGTGAGGTAACCTAATAGAACAGTCTCTCTTAATGGTACACTAACTGTTGGGAGGATTCCAGGCCTTATCTGTCTTACCTGCTTCTCTCTCCCTGAAATAACTATACATTATGACTGCACAAGCTTCTAACTTTCCTTCTAGTTATCAGAGAAAAAGGATTATGGCAGAGAAATTAAAATTGGCTGGTATATTCCCTAATTTCTCACTCTCTCCTTCCTCAGGGCACCTGGAGAAGCAACCACAAGAAGCACTCAGTTTACAATGGGGGGAGGAGGGGCAGAGAAGAAGTGAGAGAAAGAATGAACAGGCAGTAAATCAGTATCAACCAGCCAGCAACATCCTTCCCTAGAAGACCTGGACTACTAATGTTTAGGTGACTAATCCACAGCTGCTATTAAAAACAAGATTACGGTCTGCATCAGCCCAAAAGAAAAGGCAAACACCCAGGGGAGGGACTCTGGGAAGGGCATTAGAGAAATTAGCCCATTGTTACTAACCAGGGAGCAATACAAAATGCCTAGGAAAAAACAAGGGCAAGCCAGTGCATGAAAGGTGAAGAAGGAAATGTAAATTCAGGTCATGCTGAAGCCAGGAGGGAAGTGAGAGCACAGGTGGGCTGGGGGGAGCACAGGGAGGAGGCAGTCTAACAGAGGAAAATTGAGGGGGAAGGAAGGGGAGAGAGAGGAGGTGGTAGCAGAAGAAAGGGAAGGTAAGACGAGAACAGAACATTTTAAACTAACCCAGAACTCTGTTGTGAAGGACAAGTCACGAGGCAAGATACAGCTCAAAGGCACAAGCCCCACATTTCACCACTGCAAAGGGATAATGCAGTCTTCCAGGCATGCATGGAAAGAGGGCTGGGCAATCCACGGCACTGACTCCCAGAGCACCACAGGATCAATGAGAGAAAGTCACCCAGGCTTTTCAGCAGCACTATGTACCAGGAGCCTTGGCATGTATGTTTAAGCTGCTTGCCTGAATAGACCCTGGTGCTGGAAAAATCGTGATACATATGTGAGAACCTATTTCACTACCAGTGTCAGCCTGGCTAAGGGAATGGATACACTGTTCCCTTCACTGCTGGCACATGCATCCACCTCACCCTAGAGTGGACAGAGTAAGAAGGACGCATGCTGAGAGTCAGAAAGCAGCTCTGCTCCTCTCCAGAAGTGATGAGAGAGGACCCACACCCCTGCTCCATTTGCCACACCACAGCTGCGTCATGCCATCTCTGCATTTCTTTCACATTTCCATCTTCCTCGACAAACAGACCACCCATGCAGTCTTCCTTTTGTTTCCATGTACACAATTGCTGGTATGCTTAACAATAGCATCAGGAAGGCAAATTGGTACGAAGGTTGTTCCTACCTTGTTAGTCCTTTCTGGCAAAGAGATTTCTCAAACACATCATAAAGCTCTGTTGCAAGATGGGGAACTATCCATTCAGCAAAGGAAGAGGAAGAAGGTTGAAAGGGAGGCAAGAACTCTTAAAATTCCAGACCTGACCAGGCTATGTCAAGATGAGGGGCAAGGGGGAAGAAATGACCAACAGGCTATCTATTCCAGTACTGCCAGAAAAAAAGGATAGGGGAAAAAATGCTTAAATGTTCTTCTCTCTCTCTTGTTTTTGCATGTTGAAAATACCAAAATATAGTAATCAAAAAAAGAGCCAAACATCCAATTTGCTACAAGCCAGGATAACTCAGTTTCAGGATGGAAAGAAACATAATGTCTAGAAAGGTCAAGAGCAGCAGGCTGGAGAATGCAAAACCCACAGTAAAGTGGGGGAGCTTGAATTCTGGAGCCTGGGGCTGACCCTGCTTCTTAAGTTCACCCCTGCTCTACTCCCCAAAAACCACTCAAAAAAACCAGAAGAAGCAAGGAATCACTTCTCAACCCACCATGTTAATTTGACAGGCAACTTTCAAAGGATGCTTGGTGGAGGGTGGGAGGGGGGAGACTGAGATAGTTCAGGCAAAGGAGTAGGATCTAAAGAATCAGTCTGATCAGGGTATTTAAGACAGAAAATCTACTTTTTAGGGAAATCCAAGTATTTAAAAATAAAGAAAACATCTCCACATCTACTCAAGAGAAAAAACACCAAGCCTCCTGCCTCCCTGATGTTGTGAAGATAGTCCATGAGAAGGATTTCCACAGTCACTGTACATGCAAAGGGAAATAACAGTGCTGCCTGAAGAGCAGCAGCCACCTTCTCCCACTCTGGCCTGCAGCCCAGGGGGCTGTCCCTTCCCACAGGCTCTGGTGAATCAGCAATGTGCTGCCAGAGGTGGGAGTGCTCTGGGCACTGTAACCCACTGTCTCTCACCCCATCCTCCTACTCACAAATAATAACTTAAGGGCTGGAAGCAAGAATGTCCACCACTGCTGCTCAGACAGTGGCCAACTTGGAAGCATGCACAGCTTGGGAAGAGAGGAAAGAAAGCAAGCTGAGTATGTACTTACTCAAAGTCCTCAAATTCCAAGTCGGTTCCCTCTACTGATGGGCCCTGGTTGTCTGAGGAAGAGGAGGAGGTGGAAGAACGGAGACGGTTCTGTTGGTAGCGCATAGAGCGCTGGCGGATACTGTCTCTCCGTGAGAGATACTGGATCATCCTCTGGGCGTAGTATGCAGCAGGAGATAATCTGAGAGAGACAGAGATGGACAAACACAAACTAGCACTAATGTGGGGAATACTGTGGTAGACAGTAAATCCAGCTCTTGTATCTCATCTCCCTGCTGAGGCGAACTCTGGAGAAATGAAAAATAAAGGGCATTTAACTCGCCAGCAAGTTTGTACTGCAGAATATGCTTATCAGACTGTCACCAGTGTTTCTGTTCTGAGATAATGCAAATAGGCAGTTTAATCAGTCATCTTCTGATCAAGAGCTGCCCTTTCCCTGGAAAGTAACACTAGGCCTTTCTTTTGAGCATCTTAAAAGACCCCATTTAGCTCCTTCGGGTGCCCTTTAAATAGATTCACAGCTTTTCCTTGATCACCATCCATACACAAAAGAAATGAAAGGGACTTTAGCAATCATCTACTTTTTAATTTTATAGATGAGAAAACAGGCCAGGCAATGATAAACCTCAGATGATTAAAGAAAGTACCCCATCCACAGCTATCTTCACTAGGTCTTTCTTCTCCAATGAGTATACATTGCTCCAGATTTGTCCTAGCTCCTTAAAATCTCTTTGAACCTCTTATCTCTCCCTTCCAGATTAATCATAGATAAATTAATAGATTAATTAACTGCAACATGGAGAAACTATTCAGGATTGAAGCTGAGAATAAAATATACTTGAGAGAATAGAAAATCTAAAGAAAGAGAGATTTTTCTATTTCTTACAATCAGAGCATCAGAGGCTACATGGGCACGAGCATTATATGTAGAAGGTAATAGTTCATTTTTCTTCTTCCTTACTGTGGCTATTCCAGTAAATAACTGGTCTAAACCTGTATTTTTCAAACTATGGCTTTAATATCTTGATACTCCATGAAAACTTCTAGTATCCCATATAATTTCCCACATTCCCTTCTTTGTCAAGTTTTTCCTCCATCTCTCACAACACTTATATAATTCGAGGCTATGAACTGAGAACATGAGAGAAACAATAACAGAAAAATGTTTTATATGGTAATATTAAATAGACTGTTAAGAAATTTCAAGACTTAAAACCTGCCTGAGGCACACACTCTGACTTAGTAATTCCACTAGGAATTTTATCCTACAGAAATACACAAAGATACAGAGATAAGTACTGTATATTGGAGGAAGTTCATTTGCAACATTGTCAGCAGTAGTGAAAAACTGGGAAACAACCCAAATGCCCAGCAACAGATTAAATAAATTATAACCATACAAAGAAACACTGTAGTTATTAAAAAGAATAAATTATCCCTAAATACAAGGAAAATAAAATTTTAAGTGGGGAAAAAATGAAGAATAGTATGTATATATTAATATACATATAAAAATACATGTTTCTGTAATTAGGAAAAAAACAAAAGGAGACACAGCAATCCTAAAGAGGATTCCTGGAGACTTTTATATACTTCTATAAGGTTTGAATATGAAAGAAAAACAGCATGTATCTTCTGTTATTTTGCTTTTAGTGGACATCTGAAGAAGAAGATTGAGAATGGAAATAGAAATAGTTATATCCAAATGACACAACAAGTATCTGCAAACATCTTGCAGCCTGACTTTTCATTACCCTGGACAAAGTCTCAAAGGCTGAAAGAGGTCCTCAGTAAGGTTACTGACCCAGTCCAAAGGAGATCCTGCAGCAAACTGCTATAGGAACTGAGGCTGCCTCTAAAATGCCTGTCATCAGAGGTGGTATCCTTCATGCCAACCATCAGATGGAGATCCAAACAGGCTGGCTGGCAATCTTTGGAACTCAAAAGTCTGTGTTATGAATAATATGCTGCTAAATCCAAATTATCTTTGTATAGCACGTGGGCATGGGATACACAGATGCCTTGGCCAAGATAATCAGACTATAACAACTATTTCCTAAAAGCCTCAACTGCTGGAACTTTCATTATATGTTTGGGCCCCTGCTACCATGCATTTTACAAGGATGAATCACAGAATCCTAAATTTTCAACAGACAGAAGTCAATGCTCTTGAGTTGTTCTTATATCTACCAAGTATACAGAAATCTTCCAGCAAAAATCAAGCATCATTGGTTAAATTTTCAAGTCAACCAGACTAGAAAAGAATGTAACAGGAGAAAAGTTTCTAAAGGAGAAAGAAGATCCTTTTTTTGGAACTGAATCTGAAAAATGACCATAAGTATACTCATTCCTAAATGTATAAACTACCCTAACTAACGGAAAATTTATAATATTGCTGGTGACAGAGAGAGAAATAATGTTGATGCCAATGACAGTAAATAAAGATTGCCCTTTTTATGTAGAGACACAATTTCAGCACTAGGTAACCCCAGTTGTTTAATTTCACTACAGGACAGGAATTTCCCAAAGTATGAAACTAGGCATCACTGCTGAGAAAGGTTTCCTGGCACATGTATTAAATATTATTAAATTGTAGCTTCATCCCTTTAAGTATCCAGAAGAAAGCTAAGGATCTGAATGCCGAGATGTCTCACAAAGGCTTTGACCGATACATATTGTATATAAACAACCAGTAATGAGATAATAACAATCCTCCTCCTACTGAAGAGATAGAAAATCGTCAAACAACCTAAAGAGTTCCGAGTGAAAATTTTAAATGTTTAAATAAATCCTCAAGTTTTCTTCAAGGAAGAACACCTCCGCCTCCAAAAAACCTATTTAGCGTTCAGAAGGAAAATGTAAAAATACCAACACCACAAAGTATGACACTTTCTGTGATAAAGAGATCAGAGTAGGAATAAATAACAGATTTACTACATGAAAGGAGGACAAATAATGGTCTTTAAGAATCACTATTGAACTTTACGAAGTTAAAAATTCTGGGGACGAGACTCCCATTACTATCATAAAAAAAACTGTTTTATAGCAAGAAGTTATGTATCTTAGTGTTTCAAAATATTTGATTCATGAGAAAAATTTCCTTTCCTTACTTAGGGCTTATAACTTTCAAAAATAATTAGAGACTAACATAAACTTCCTTGCTCAGTGATCATCTAAGCTGCTTACCCTGTTTTTTGGTTTTGTTTCTGTGGCTAGTCAGTATGAGAATCTGAACCCTTGACCTTGGGATTATCAGCACCATGCTCTAACCAAGTGAGCTAACTGGCCAGCCTCATACCTATTTTAAATCATACCTATTTTAAAATCATCAATCCCTACGTTCCCTGATCGTTACATTTGCCATTTCTGGGGTGTGGAAAAAGAAGTAACAGAATAATGGAGAATTTTTTCCTTAGTATCTCAGAAAGAATGCTCAGTATCATAACTGTGGCAACAACAAAATCATTTAATATCTCTGGAATCAACCTGTCTAAAGGTTTTTCCAGGTGGACTTGAAATTCTTAATCCAGAGCAAAGTTCATTTTGCCCTATCTGATCTATATTGTTAACCTGCCAACCCCACAATTATAAATTACTCTTTTCTTTTGGCAAAGCCTCACAATGTGCTCTGGTAATTGCTTAAATAATGCACAAGTTACTCCTTTTTAGATCACTAATAGAACCATTAAATCTGGCTGTGACAACCCCAAGGGCTGCTTGTTACAGACAAATATTATATATCAACTTAACACCCAACCTTGGCCCTCAGTTACCAGCATCAGGGAAGGGCGGGTCTTGAACTCATCCGAATATTTTTCTTTTCATCTCTTCAAGAACTTTTCAAATGTCTTCAAAGTGTAAAGCAAGCACTTTAATAAAATGCCAACTTGTTTTACTCAGTTACTTTCTTCAATCATCTCTTCCTTCAGGTAGTCTCTAAAAATTCAATATCTGCAGGAGCTTGACTTCTCTCCTTTGATATTCTAAAGTCCCTCTCAAATGACAGAAAATAGGGTTTTGGCTTGTTTGTTTAATTTGTAAGTAACTTCCCTATAAATAAACCCTTTTGTTCCCCCTTTTGGCTATCCATCTGAATGGCAACAACCTTTCTGGCCAGCAGAAAAAGAATATCCTAGGACTCTGCCCATGGCCTCCTCAAGTCCCTCCACTAGTGTCCCACTTGCAGAAATGAGCCCCAAAGGACAAGAGCTCAGTCATAACCCTCTGTCACCAGATGTACTGTTCACTTACCTGCAACACTTCCCAATCACCTGAACCACCTGTCTCAAAACTGTAACTGAAGAGTAAAAGAGCACCAGGACCAGAGAGGCACAGAATGGGGGGCTTCCAACAGTTTGGCAACCCCAAGGGCCGCCCCTCCCCCCCACCTAGTGCCATTTCTCTTTGGCCTTACCTCGCTGGGTCTGGGTAAATTGGGTGCTCTCTGGATCCTGCTCCATCATAACGGGATAATGAAATGAGGGAAGACTCCAGCAGCCTCCTAGCAGAGATTAAAAAAATGGCAATAATCCCTGTCAATTACCAACTCAGAGGTCATTCATAAGGAAAAATGGGGGAGAGATAAATAACATCCCCCTTTGCAGCCAGCTAACACCTGTTATCTGGGTTCATACCCTTCCTACAAGCTAAGTATGTAGAGACATAAATAAAGAGCTATGGAGCTCCCACACTGGATATGGCCACTATATTATGCTGAGCACTGCTCCTCAGTGAGAAATGAACAAGTGCTTCAGAGACATGACCTTATTTCTACTTGCAGTACCTCCAGTAGACAAATAAGATGTGGGATCAACACAGGGAGGAAAAATTAGGCATACATACAGATTATCATGAAGCACTAACATTTATCTTGACATTCAGTTCCTCTATGCCATCATAATCCACATCCCCTTATGTTCAACTCATTCTGCTCTACCCACACCCTGTTTGTGAGAAAGAGTACTCTTTGAGCTCTCTTAACACCTGACAAAATCCTTTACTTTTATAATCTAGCCCAATCAGAAATTCAACTGATCATATGTAACACATACATTTTATTGTGCACTTTTTGGGGGCCAGGCAATATACTAAGTAATTCACATTTATTTCTTCATTTAAACCCCACCCACAACCTGGAAAGATAGGTATTACTACATATATGAGAACACTGGGCCTAGATGTTAAAAGTATATTGCCCTGTAGCACATAGCTATTAAGTGATAGTGCCAGGACTCCAGTAAAGGCCTGTCTTAACTCCAAAATGCTTCAAAACCTCTATGTTGTAGTGCAGGCCCTTCCAGGGTCCAGGCAAGAAGGTGCATATGTATACACTGTAAGCAATGGAGGAAACTGGCAAATAGGAAGGTATGTGTCCCATAACTCAGCTCTGACCAATTGTTACCAAGCTAGAATGTGGGCTCAGTATTCCTGGCTCTCCCTATTTTTTTTTAAAGGAAAGCCAGAAATCTGGACTTTTCCATGAAATCTTCTAATAGTTAAATTTTAGCTATAACATTTTTTTCTTTTCATACAAGGACCAGTTAAAACACATCTGATAAACATGGCCCAGGGGCTTCCTGGTTTGCCATGTCTGACACTGTCCTTCCCAACTCATACATGCCTTGGCAGCCAATCAAGCTCCTGCCATAGAACATGTTTCAAAGCAAATGGTCTCAGAAAGAAATGCATATTGTTCCTCTCCGGCAGCATCTTGCCTGGCTCTCCCAGGAACAGGTCTCCGGCTCACTGCCAGACTCCTCTTTAAGGCAGGTCTGCAAGATAAGGACAGCAGCTACCAATCTTTTCCAATTGAGTTAATTCAATTCACTCTTATTAAAACCAGCTGGCTTTATGTATGGTCGTGTGCAGTCACTTTATCCCAGCAACTGGCCCACCACAGCATTTCTCCTAACAGCCGGGGGAAGAAACACAGCAAAGACCCTATCAACCTGGCTTGCAACCTTTCCTACCCAGGACAACCAACTGTTCGATGATGTTTTCTATTAAACAAGGTCTGTAACCCCACGCTTAGGCCCTTAAAACAATTCTATGGCTAAGGAGAGTAACTGAACACAATGTAACCAATGAGGAAGAGAAGAAAGCAATAAAATACATCTTCTCCCTGGTTGAAAGCCTTAATCTTCAGTGATATCACTGTGTACAGCAGCAGAAATGCTGTGTTTCATTGATTCTAAGACACACTTTTTCTTTTCACATTTTAATGTGTCTGAAATTGTGATGCATCTTACAACTGTGAGAACCAGTTTAATTGGCGGGATTTTTTTTGTCTTTCATAGGGACACATAAAAGAATGGCATGCCTTTGAGTCTCTGAGACAGAATGTGAGAGGAATGGGTAGTAAGAGGTACAAAGATTGCAGAAAAAAATAAGTTTTGAGAAGAGTAATTATTCAGGACACTTATGTCACCTCATATAGTAATTATTCATTATTAATAAACTATTTAGGAACTGGATGGGAGTTGAAGAATGAAAGTCTGGGAGCAGCTGACTGCCCTAGAAGCTTGTTCCATCCCAAAGTGCTCTGTGGTTAGGCTAAATATCACTAAGCTCTGTCGTGTTAAGTGGCTGCTTAGTAAGCAGTGGCCATTTGGCAAGGAGCATCCTCCAGAGTGACCAAAATATATCCTTCTTAAGTACTTCTGTCTGGAAAATGATCCTGGTAAGTTAGGAGGCTAATATTACCCACCACTGTGCCAAGGCAGTAACAGTGTTGAGAGAGAGATGAGATGACTTATCAGGAATACTGTAAAGGAGATTCCTGAACGGGAAGAGTTTGGATTAGATAACTTCAGTTTTAATGATTCCATTTTATAATCCTGCAGAGTCTACTTTCCACCCTATCTTCCTATCTTAACTAGGAAGACTTCTTTAAATCAGAGTAGAACCAAAAATGTTAAGCTTTGTCTCTGGGGAGTCCTTGATGAGGTTCTCTTAGAACATGTATCCCCTGTGCCTATTTACTACAGAATCTGTTGGCACCATTTGCTCCCCAGACAATACAGTGGGAGTGGCAAGCTATATACATATAGCTTGCCATATATATATGGCATTTTAATGGCTAATACACAAAATCAGGAGAAACAATCACTGTAATAGCATCCCCCCACACATATACATCACTGATAAAACATAAGTTCCCACAGTTACAAAACAAGTACTATCTGGGATGAAAACAGACTTTTCCAATTGGTGTGAAATAAAGAAAGAACTAGAGTTGCTAGGTGAGTAAACATCACCACCTCTCCTAGGAACCTCAAAGAAAGATCTTTCTCTCCTAATGTCTGCTTCTTGTTGACAGCTATCAAAGGGAAATGGCACAAGACAATGGAATGGGATGGCAGCTGTGCACCTTCTGCTCTGACCAAAGCAAATTTGACTTGACTTAATGATCTATCATGCAATTTGTTAACACAAAATCAGGGAGGACTTAGGAAGGGCTCAGACAAGCTTGTTCAAGCTTGAAGCTTCCATTTCATTTTGATCTACAATCTTAACTCAGAAATGTTTTAAAGACTCACTGAAGCTCCGACAGGAAAAAAAAAGCAAAAACCCCTTTATTTTCTCTACAAACTTGCCTGATTCATCCTCTATACCAGTGGTGTCCAAGCGAGGTACAGCAGGGGTTCTGCTATTTTGATCCACTGAAGAGCAGGAAGAAAATATTACAACTTTTGCTTTATAATGTATTATCATAATGTATAACATACACATAAGGGTTACTCAAAAGCCTTTTATTAATAAAGTTTTTTTAAAGTATGAAGACCACTGCTCTATCAAAATATACACTACTTTAAGAATATTCAATATTTAAAAGAATAACCACAAATATAGCAAATATAAATATAGGCTGGCTGGTTAGCTCAGTTGGTTTGAGTACAGTATCATAACACCAAGGTCAAGGGTTCAGATCCCCATACAGGCCAGCTGCCAAAAAAAAGAAGGAAAATAAAAAAAAGAAAGAAACTATAATAACCATAAGCATATAAAAGCATAATCATATTTATACAGATAGAACAAAAGAGAAAGAATGATAAAGCAAATGTGGTAAACACTTAACATTTAGGGAATGTGGGTGAAGGGCATGTGGGAATCCTTTGTACTATTTTCACAACTCTTCTCCAAGTCTTAAATTATTTTGAAATAGAAAAATAAAAATATCCAATATACAAAAATCTAGAAGTAAAATATTGAAACTTATGAGGTAGCCATTCATTTTCAAAAGAATTACTTCTTAAAAAGGATGTCTTCAAATAGCAACTTGCCCCAATGTTCTAAAGCAGGTTTGCTAAACTACAGGCCCTGGGTCAGTTGCCTGTTTTTGTAAATAACATTTTATCTGAATGCAGACATACCTATTCATTTACATATTGTCTTTAGAGTTAGCAAGGCAGACTTGAGTAATCCTGACAGAGACAACTAAACTACAGGCCCTGGGTCAGTTGCCTGTTTTTGTAAATAACATTTTATCTGAATGCAGACATACCCATTCATTTACATATTGTCTTTAGAGTTAGCAAGGCAGACTTGAGTAATCCTGACAGAGACAAATCAGCACCGCACTCTCCCAAGTGAGCCACGGACCGGCCCTTCTCTTTCCTTTTGGATATATGAACTACATGCTCTAGAGCTCAGTGGTTTTCAAACTTTTTGAACTCAGGATTCCTTTAACATTGTTAAAAATTATGAGGACTCCAAAGAGCTTTTGTTTATATGGGTTTTATCTACAATATTACCATATTTGAAATTGAAATTGAGAAATTTTTAATACACAAGCACACATTCCATTAGCTATCAGAATGATAGCCTCATTATACATCATGTAGTATCCAGAAAACTCCACTGCATACCTGTGAAAGAATGAGTGCAAAGGATAAAGAATACCTCAGAATTATTATAAAAATAGTTTTAATTTCAGGGATCCCAGATCACACTTTGAGAACCATCACTCTAGCTAAAGTAAACACACCCTCATTATCCCACCCATGTATTTATCTTGGCCATTTCTTCTTTCTGGAAAATTCCTCTTCCTCATTGCTGCCCGTAAATATCCTTCAAAGCTCAAATACCTGAGTCCTCTGGCCATAAAGTTCAACTTCTGTTCCCCAACACCCCACAGCATTTTGTGCCTCTCTTAAGAAAATTTCTCTCTCAAGTCACCTCGTACTGCAGTTACTTATAAGTATGTCTTGTCTCTGCTACTGGACTACAAGCTACATGAAAGCAGGAACTAGATGCAAGTCATCTTCTTACCCCCATCAAAAGTCACATACTAATTAGCATAAAATAGGAAACCAATAAATATCTAATGAATGAATCAGCAGGCCTGACTAAACTTGGAAGAATAAGCAAGACGACATATCTGATGGCCCCTCACTGACTCTATGACTTTCAGACAAGGTTGCTAGATGTCCAAAAACTCACAATAAATTTCTGAAGGAAC